TGTGTGTGTGTGAGTGTGTGCACAGGTGTGTGGAGTCAAGGTAACGGAGTCCGGGAGGATGGGAAGCGGCGACCTCTGGTGGTGAGAGGGAGAACGCCAGACCCTGACAAATGTCATTTTGTTTTTTATTATTTCACAAAACATTGTGCAGGATGCTGATACATTAGATTACAGTGAGGGCGTTAAAAACGCGTTCAAAGGCACTGTGTGACAAAAAGAAAATGAATTGAAAAACACTGGTCAAGCCAGATGATAACCTTTATCTTGTTGTTTCAGGAGATGATATGGAGTCACTCCTTTTTCATTTCTTAGACGACTGGCTCTTTAAATTCAGCGCTGATATCTTCTTCATTCCCAGGGTAATGTGCGCACATCGGCATTAGATTTCCTGTGACCTCAGTCTTTTCTGTTTTCTAACAACCTGGTCTTTTGTTTTGCAGGAAGTGAAGGTGTTGCACATTGACCGAATGCGCTGCAGAATCTGCTCGAGAGGGTGAGTTCTGACTCTGAAACACTCCACCAGAAATACTGAACCTAAGAGTCTTTCATTGTACACCCACAGAGCTCCCACAGATGCTCAGCCAAACCAGTGAACACTAGCCTTTTGTGTCTGAACCCGAATTAACTTCTAGGAAGCTGAGCAGGTATTTTCAGCTGCTTTTCATCTGGAAATCCTTCTGATGTACGAAATTTCATCAGAGGATGAGTCTCTCACAGAAAAAAAACGTTACGATGTGTTAAGCTCATTTTATGTAATGTTTTGGAATTTTGTAAACCACGTTTATACTCTCACGTTATTGACATCTGGTCTTAATAAGTCTTTCAAATATGTTTCCTATGAAACAAATACTTGGAGTACACCCACTAATAATATAATAAAATATTTGCCATTTATATGAGGATCACAAAATAAATAATTTTGCCAGAATACACTGATGCTTTTGACAGGCGGTCTGTCAATGGAAAAAAATTGATGTTAATGTTTATAATATCTTAATTACTTAATGCCTCATAGCTGGGCGATAACATAGTTTACATTCTGCGATGATTCAAGCATCAAGCAGTTGAGATTTGCTATATAGCGCCTATATTTTTTCTGCATTCTCTGATGCATGAATACATAAAGCATGATAACAACTGGTTGCATAGTATCTGAACCAATAGGGTATAACACAGTTTGAAGACTACACCAAATGATGGCTGGAAGATGCTGGTAGATGCTGTAATGACACCAATCTAGAGCCAAAGAGAATATAACAAACCTCTACATTTAGTATACTCAAGTAAAGCAATATATACTATATGGCAAATCTTGGCTGCGTGATTTTATGTATGTATGTATGTATGTATGTGTATATATATATATATATATACACACACACACACACAACAATATCTGCATTCTGCATACATAAACTCACATAAAGTGATTTCTACTATTTAGCAAATCTCACCTGCCTGATTTGTCGAGTCACAAAATTTAACTATATTAATACCCAGCTGTTTATATAAAGTTGGGTATATAACTATGTCTAACTTTATGCGCATACATACACTGAGAAATGGCTAAAATGAAATGACTGTCTTCACATTTGGTGTCAAATCTTAGTTCTGTGCATATCTGGGGAAAAAAGCAATGGGTGAGTTCATTGTGTCTGTAGTTTCCGGCCATTTGACCAACATGGAAAACAAAAGCGTCAATAAACGGTCACTGCATGCTTTCCTCTGCTCAGAAAGAGGCCCCACATTCCCGACAAGGGGCTGGCTTTTCCAGCTAACACCTTTTTGTAGTGTTTAAACAGTCTGGAATTAGGGGAATTTCAGAGTCTGCCTTCCGAGAACTACAAATATAAAATTATGTTTGCCTAAAATAAATGTTAAAGGGATAGTTCATCCAAAAAGGAAAGAAGATCAGCCTCATGCCATTCCAAATCTGCATTCTTTCTTCTGGTGAATACTGAAGAAGATATTTTGAAGAATGTGGATAACCAAACACTGTTGACTGTTGCGCATGTTTCATTCAGTCTTTTTTATTTGTAGGTGGGGTGAAGAATTCAACCTAAATAAGCATCCGCAGGTATGTTCCCCCTCCGTCTGTGGCTGTGACCACCAGAGCTGTGCTCTGTAAAATAAACCCATCTGTGCTTTATTTGCTTTACACATTCACTTTCCAGTAGTTGAACGGTAGCACTTTTCTTTGTCAGCCCTATTAACCATTATGGAAAGCCACAGGGGATTTTTATGTGATGCTTGGCATTCATTCCAACAGCATCAGCAATGGAAGTTGGAATAACAAATATTAACTTCCTACACTCAAAAAAATGCTGGGTTAAATATAACCCAGCACTGGGTTAAAAAGGGACAAACCCAGCTATTGGGTTGTTCAAAACAACCCAACCGCTGGGTCAAAACAACCCAATAGCTGGGTTTGTCCCTTTTTAATCCAGCGCTGGGTTATATTTAACCCAGCATTTTTTAGAGCGTAGTTCAAATCACAGGAGAGTTAGGATTAGGAAATTAGGAAAATCTAGAGTAAATTTGACCACAGCCGCAATGTATGATTGAATATTTGATCAATCGTTTGGTTTTTATTTCTGCAGCATTCAATCAGAGTACAGAAATTGACAATTTAATGGGAAGAGATGGTTCAATCATATAAAAATGAATGGGAGAAATCGTAACACTCAGAATGGTGTCTGTTTGTAGTGCATATGCATCAGCTGGACCAGCCTGAAAAATACAATATTTTGCATGATTAAAGCACATTTTATGATGCAGTTAATGTCAGATTTAATTCCTTAAAGTCTTAAAAGATTTCTGCCTTTCTCCATTCAAGTTGTTAAAATTTTTTAGATTGGCTTGTGCATAATATATGTGACAAATACCGTTATATAGTGTTTCCTTCACTTTATGATTATACTGTGAATATTACCTCGCGTTATAATAAAATACTGTAATATTCGTCTGGGGAACACATTCCTCTGTAATTCCTTTCCCATGCAGCACAAGTAGTCTTAAAATATGCTGTGCATCCAGACTAATAATGTGCAGCTTAATATTAAACTCATGATGCACAGGTTTTATTTTTGTAGATAGCCAAGGACTCATATTTGAAAGTGTTTGTGAACACGTACAACATTTATTCATCTGAGCAGATCCATTTATCCAGAGAAAGTAAACGAGTGATAGGATTGAGTGGTGAATAAAACGACCAATGTTTAAGCAAACATGTAGTCCTGCCCCAGATTCACATCATTGGAATGCTGTTATGTCTGGCCCGGGCTGCTTAAACCCAAAAATGAAAATCTACAGAACATTTACTCATCCCACAGACCATCCAAGATGTAGGTGAGTTTATTTCTTCGGAACAGATTTGGAGAAATGTAGCATTCCATCACTTGTTCACCAACGGATCCGCTGCAGTGAATGGGTGCCGTCAGAATGAGAGTCCAAACAGCTGATAAAAACATCACAGTAATCCAATATGACTGTTTCACTGGAGAAATGGACTCGTATTTTAGCTGAAAGCAACACTTTGAAGTTTTATTACAGACTCCCAGCATTTAGCTTCACAAGATGTTAATTGATTCCATTTGGTGCATAAATTACACACGCTTTCATATAAACAGGCAACAGACTGCAAAGATTTTAATGCTTTTATTTTCCTGTTTTACAGGGAACAGAAGTGAAAGCAATCACCTACTCAGCTATGCAAGTACATGACACAGAAAAACCAGAGATCTTTGTCATCAGCGATATTTAAAAAACAAAAAAACATTAGATATAATTTAATACCTCGTGTTAATTTACATCATTTTAAAAGATTGTACCTTCTAGTTGGAATGGATATGTGAGAGGTGTCATTTCTGTAAACTATAAAATGTTTTGTGGATTGTGGATGACTGAAATACTGTTTTGTTTTTTGGTCTGATTTTCATTATTAATAATGATATTAAAGGGGTCATATGATGCTGCTGAAAAGAACATTATTTTGTGTATTTGGTGTAATGAAATGTGTTTATGCGGTTTAAGGTTAAAAAAACACATTATTTTCCACATACTGTACATTATTGTTTCTCCTCTATGCCCAGCCTTTCTGAAACGTGTCGATTTTTACAAAGCTCATCGGTCTGAAAAAGCGAGATGTGCTGTCATTGGCCAGCTATCCAATGCGTTGTGATTGGCCTGCATTTGTGATCGGAGAAATGACAAACAACAAGTGCTACTCTACACTGCCCAAAAAACTCAAGTAGATATGCAGACCGGAGATCTCCAAAATGGGGCGTGAACTCCAAAAGTGGGCAGAACCTCCAAAATGGGGCGGGGTCTCCTCGGGCAAAGACTTTCACCATTGGTTCTGGCTCCAATTACTAATTGACTTACATTTCAAAATAAAATTTTATAAATTAAACGTTGTTTCTAGTTCATCTAAAATAAAATATGCTATATAAATACATATTCTCCGTGAGAGCAGAGCCCAAAGCTCGTGGCCAGTGGTGTTCGGACTGGAGTTTGAACCTCTGCTTAATGATATAAACGGGAATCACCCACGAGCTCTCCTGCGAGCCGTCTCAGCGCAGCACAGCACAGGGGAAAGACTTTAATCTCTATCGCTTTGTTCTAAGCAACGGGGGCGTCCCGGGGCTCGGAATTCGCAGGGTAGGAGGGGGTAGTGACGGTGGGTGTAACTAAAAAGGTGCCATTGTCCGGTGAGGTCCGGTTGGGGAGTTACGGAACGATCTCATATCACATGATCTTATTAACTGTTTATCTCCTGAACTGCAACTTTCTTTACCACGCTATTCAGCGCCAATCCCGCCGTGCAGTCAATTTCACTGGTTAAGGTTAGGGTCAGGTGTGGGGTAGGTTTAGGGGTTAGCATTGTTTGTAGCATAGTGTAGGAAATCAACACTTTAATTGACACAACCAATAAAATCTTTAGAATCACTGTGGGGTGGAGTTTGCACTGAAGTGGATTGGGGGAAAAAATTGCGCCCCCATTTGGAGATCTCCAGGCTGCAGTTATACCCTTCTCAAAAAAAAAACAAAAAAAATGTATAAATAAATAATAATAAAAAAAAAAACCTCGTCATTGGCAAATTCTTTAAATATAAAAAACGTACTTACAGACTATGAGTCAGAACAGCCGGCATTGTAGTCTACTCTACCAGGATCAGGAAACAGTCCTCCATAAAATGCGCTGGACACATCGGAATATTTGGGTTAAACTGTTCTGGAACAGTGTTGTAAATACAACTTAACCACTGATTTCTAGTCGTGTTCTCTTTTGGAAGACCAAACAAAGTAGTTTTGCTTTCACAACGAAAAAGCGTCACACACCGCGGCCTTGAGTGAGCGGAGGCTGGCTTGAATGAGCAGAGGCTGGCGGGCTTGAGAACGGCGTGGCCGGCGGATTCGACGAAGGAGCGTCCGGCGGGCTTGCGGCAACCACATGTGTCGACCCCGGGCTGCCCTC